GGGCTCCGCCCTCCAAAAACTGGGAAGCCGCAGTGTGCTCGACAGATGCTCGCGGGCGCTGCTTTCTTCCTTTGCCAGATGCGGGCCTTCCACCCCAAACGGAAGAGTTAAGCAGTAAGGGGGAAAGGCAGGGCCGGGGGACTAGATCCAGCACACATCTGCAAAATCAGAGACCATCCTCCAGAATGTGAATCGAAGGTCTGTCTCGTAGTTGCGGGAAAACTGGTGAGGCAATTAGGTCAGTGTTTTTCCAAACTTGGCAACTTTAAGAGGTGTGGACTTCAACTCCCAGAATTCCCCAACCAGCAATAGCGTTCGTGAAAAAATTGAATTGTAATTATGTTACTACAAACTGAACACGAGTCAGCAATATAACGTGACTGCAATATAAATAAAGCAAATGCTTTTTACATTGTATCATCAGAAATAGGGTTTCCAAGTCATGGAAATAGGTTTACTTCTTTCTGCGTTAATTGGACTTCACTTACAGTACAGTGTCCAGTCTTGGACACCACACTTAAAGATGGATTCAGGCAAATTCAGATAGGTTCAGAGAGGAGCAACAGGGATGATCGAGAATCTAGAAATGGTCCTATAAAGACAGATTAAGGGAACTGAAAACGTTTAGCCTTGGAAGGAGAATCTTAAGTCATATATCAGAATTCTTCAAGCCGAGTTGTTATGAAAATTAGGCAACAACTGGTTCCAATAATCATTGGTTTTGTTCTTGCTAATTTACTAGTACTAGTGCAATCATGTTTGGTGTATATATGCATGAGCAAGTGTGCACTCTGGAATGAGCTTTTCGTTAGCCCAAACCTGGGCCCCACATTCTGCTATCTTATGTAGCTTTAAGGCACAAGAGTGCTATTTGCCTGGCGCTCTGTTTACATGATCTGCAGTACTTTTGCATTGGGGAGAGAGATGATTGGATGCTGGTGGGGTTAAATGGCCCTCCCCCAATTCTCATTGCTGCCCTTGACTGAGTTAAGTCACAGCTCATTTAGCAAGGCAGAATTGAATGAGGTCATATGACAGACTAAGCAATAGATCATGGTGTATAAACCTTAATGTTCATACAGCACACAAAGTCAAAACCATTCATAATTTATCATGATGTATAAACCAGTGTGATATCAGCAAAACTCTTGGCCTATTTCTTGGTTATAAATATCTGAGCCAGCACACGCAGCCTGCATATGGGGATCTCTTAAGAACACCAACACGGCTGTTGCATTATTAGCTCTGCCTTTTACTGTCCCAGACAAAGCACCCTCCCAATATTCATGCTGACTCTGCAAAGCCATACACACAAGGGCTGAAAAAGACACAGCCATCTACCCCAGTACAACCACTCATGAGAAATATAGCTCCACGTTCCTCTAACAGTGTAAAAAAACAGTAGTGCAATAATTAAAACTTGCAATTAAAGACAATAGGTTTAATCAATTAATAAAACATTCATTTTATGAAGTACTTTACAAAGCAGAGTTCGAAAGTACAAAATAGAATAAACAATATGATAAAGATTAAAGCAGTAACAGAAAGGAAAAGAAGCAATAACAAAATCATAAATCACTACTGCACTAACGTGTTATTAAAAGGTACGGGAGAATAAAACTACCTTAGCCTGGCACCCAAAAAACAATGATGGTACCAGGTGTTTCTTGCTGGCGAAGACTTCACTTACTTGGGTTCTAGCTAAGCCTGTGTGTCAGAACAGTATTTAACAGAAGAAGAAGAAAGGAAAGCAGCCACAGGCATGGTTCCAATAAAATCACAGGAAAGCCTACTAGGAAAAAACTTCACCACCACGATCCCAGTTCATCAGTTTAGTTTTTCACTGACTTACACCAGAAGTCCATCAGCTCAGTATTTTTTGCACTGTCTGGTATTGGCTCCTTGGGATTTTAGGTAGGATTGTTCTTCATGGGGAGATGCTGATATCTTTTCCAAACAAAACTTGGATACTGTACCTGAACTGATGTTGATAAAGGGTGTAAATCTCAGTGGGAATTACTTTTGGGGAATAATCAAATGGAACTCAGCTGAGCTATGCCATCTATAGTGAGTTCGTTGATCCATCAGGTGTAACAAGCTTCAGACTGTGGCTTAATGAGTGCACTTCCACACACCACTATTTCCATTCCCCTGATTCTCCAAAGCGTTTGATGGTGATCCATTACCACAATCTTCTACTTACCTTGCTGCATTGAGAAGCAAAGAGTCAGAGTCACCTCTGCCCTGAGCTACTGCAGGTCCTGTAGAATTAAAAATTCTCTTGACTCCTTTTCTGTGCAAAAGGGAAATAAAATAAATGCATGCCCTCCCTATCCAAGTCCTCACCTTACATATTATCTGGTGGTATTAAACAAAATCCCAGGATCTTCTGCGGGAAAGGTGAAACGCTGTTTGGCCACCTTTCCCCTTGAAAAATCTGCAAGGACAGGCAGCCCACTGGGAGGCAGCGGTTTCTGCAAATGGGGAAATGGACTGTCCTCAAGCTCTGCACTGCTGCAGCATTTTCAAGGAAAGGATTAGTTTTATAGCTGTCTCAGAGTTGCTGCTGATGAATGGGATTAGCGCTCAAACACTGCTGGTGCCCTGGGATCATGGGCAATCTGGAGCCGGTTTCAAGTTATGTCCTCTTGCAGAATTGCTTTGAGCTGCTACCACTTCCGTCACCCTAATACTCTAATCTTTTTTCTACTCTCATAACTCCCAGTATTTGAAATTGTATAGCTACTCCTTATTTCTTATGACCTTTGACATGCACGTTCTTGGTATTGCGTGAAGAAATTGCTACTAGAGGAAGCAAGACAGCAGGAACAGGAAAGCCAGGCAGAGAATAGCCGTCCTGGCACCTCACTTAGGAGGGATTGGCTCACCTGAGAAATCCTCCCTCTCTCTCCCCCTTCCGAGGAGTTCAGGAATACAGTTGTTTGTGGGCCGATCAGGCTAGAGGGTAGGCAACCAATTATTAGTTTCCCACAGCAGCAGGATCCCCTTCTCTCAGCAACTCTGCTCATCCCAGAAAGAGAGAGCGCGTGTGCAATCTATTACCCAATCCCATATACAATTCTTGGGGCAAAACAGATTGTTGCCTAAGGATACAGTCAGGTCCAGAAATATTGGGACATCGACACAATTCTAACATCTTTGGCTCTATACACCACCACAATGGATTTGGAATGAAACAAACACAATGTGCCTTAAGGCACATATGCAAACTGTTGTAATTCCTACACCGTTCACCTGAGTTGGATGTACATACCCTCAAATTAAAGCTGACAGTCTGCAGTTAAGGCACATTGTGTTTGTTTCATTCCAAATCCATTGTGGTGGTGTAGGCACATATGCAAACTGTTGTAATTCCTACACCGTTCACCTGAGTTGGATGTACATACCCTCAAATTAAAGCTGACAGTCTGCAGTTAAGGCACATTGTGTTTGTTTCATTCCAAATCCATTGTGGTGGTGTAGGCACATATGCAAACTGTTGTAATTCCTACACCGTTCACCTGAGTTGGATGTACATACCCTCAAATTAAAGCTGACAGTCTGCAGTTAAGGCACATTGTGTTTGTTTCATTCCAAATCCATTGTGGTGGTGTAGGCACATATGCAAACTGTTGTAATTCCTACACCGTTCACCTGAGTTGGATGTACATACCCTCAAATTAAAGCTGACAGTCTGCAGTTAAGGCACATTGTGTTTGTTTCATTCCAAATCCATTGTGGTGGTGTAGGCACATATGCAAACTGTTGTAATTCCTACACCGTTCACCTGAGTTGGATGTACATACCCTCAAATTAAAGCTGACAGTCTGCAGTTAAGGCACATTGTGTTTGTTTCATTCCAAATCCATTGTGGTGGTGTAGGCACATATGCAAACTGTTGTAATTCCTACACCGTTCACCTGAGTTGGATGTACATACCCTCAAATTAAAGCTGACAGTCTGCAGTTAAGGCACATTGTGTTTGTTTCATTCCAAATCCATTGTGGTGGTGTAGGCACATATGCAAACTGTTGTAATTCCTACACCGTTCACCTGAGTTGGATGTACATACCCTCAAATTAAAGCTGACAGTCTGCAGTTAAGGCACATTGTGTTTGTTTCATTCCAAATCCATTGTGGTGGTGTAGGCACATATGCAAACTGTTGTAATTCCTACACCGTTCACCTGAGTTGGATGTACATACCCTCAAATTAAAGCTGACAGTCTGCAGTTAAGGCACATTGTGTTTGTTTCATTCCAAATCCATTGTGGTGGTGTATAGAGCCAAAGATGTTAGAATTGTGTCGATGTCCCAATATTTCTGGACCTGACTGTATATTAGAATGTGAGTGAGGAATTAAAGATCCTTTCCTCTGGCCAAACATTTAGAAAAAGCTGGGACGTTTTACTGATTTCTCACATTTATGTAGCTGCCCATCTCACAAACATGACTCTGGGTGGCATACAATAAAAATTCCCTGGCAGCGGCCATCTATTCAGTGAAACAGTCTTCTCCCCGCAAAGTTTATG